GGAGGCGTAACAGTTTATTAACAGAGACCATCTTGTACATAACTTTCTGTAACAACCAAAAATATCAAGTCTTTACACACACCTAACAGGTGGCGCCAGCTTACCATTATAAACTAATATTAAAGTCTCAATGCACATAAACAAGTATGCTTCGTTTACTTTACTTTTTCTTGTGCCACGAAAAATTAAACAAAAAAGGAAACGTGAAAAAGGGTTGAAATAATAACAGCAAACAAATTATGACCGAAAGCATTAAACGTGAATTTTTTTTTAATGTGTGTGTGTGTGTGAAAAGCCTTACAATGAGCCATTTGCACTCTGTTTACGACGGGGATTCGAACCACGGATTTTAGAGTTGTAAGCCTCCAAACTTACCGCTAGCGCACTGCCGACTAACCGTGAAATAGTGTATGCTATTATTGTTGTCATTTTAGCGCTAAGCTACGTAATATGCTATTTGCACTCTGTCTTCCGTGAGAAATGAAACAACGGATTCCAGCGTTATACGTCTGTAAACTCACTGCTGTTCCACAGAGTGACAGGAAAGAGTGGACGCAGTCTGAAGTCGGTGTGAACGACACTAGTATTAAATGAGAGGAAAAAACTAAGTTTAATACATATTAAAATCATATTCAATAAAACACGTATGTCTGAATTTGTCTTTCAAAACTGCTTATTTTACATTCTTGATATTCAGTTTGGTTCTTAGAAATTCTAACAACTGACGTCGAGGGTTAATCAGTTAGTAATTGGCAGTCAAAGCACTTCTTAAGAGCTCTGGTTAAGGAAGACGCATGTTTAATAACACTTGGTAACATACATATTTGTTTTTTAGTAAAGTACACAGCTAGAGAATGGGCTATCGAAACCCGGTTTTTAGCGTTATAAACCACTGAACCACTGGAAGAGTGGGGGTATAAATCTGCAGAAGTGATGTCATCAAATTCTGGAAAGAATAAAGTCAGGAAATATAAAACTGGGGCATACAAACATACGTTTAGAAACACTGAATTGATAGACCAGTAAAAGAAAGGACGTGGATATAACAAATAAGTTGAATGGTCTTTTGTCGTGTGTGTAACATACTTGATGTCTTTGTATATACTTGAGCTGACAAACCGATAAACATATTTTGACAATAATTCGTTGGTCATTCGTTCTATAAGAATCAGGAACGAGCAGTGGACATCACGTGTTCTTTAAATATCAGTAGTAGGTAATATACAGAATCACTGAACCCAATGATGGAACTGGTCAAGTCAGAGACACACGGAGAACTGGATTTTAGTCCGTGGGATTAGTGGGTTAATGAAGGGAGTGTGAAATGAGAAATGACGAGAAGTTTACGAATAAATGTTTTCTTACTGAGCAGGCGTGACCTAATGTTTATAAGACAGATTGCGAATCGGAAAATCCAATGTTTGAACTGCAATATGCTTCTGAATACGGTCCGCGCTTTCAGCGAATGAATTGTAACGTAACACTCAAACCCATAATTCGATTAAGAATAGTCGTGTTGTCAGCGAACATTTACTGGCTGTACTCTTTCTAAGCAACAGTGTAAAATTAAGGTTGGCTATGCCTATGACTTGGGGTCTCTGACATGGCTGCTTAGCCTAAGTGTTGAACGAGGTACTGTTTAGTTTCAAAACAGTTAATACCATATAAGATAAAACAAGCGTGACAATCTGTGATATTTTAATAAACTTCATTGACAGAAGTGGATTTACAAGAAATCGTCAGCTTTTATATATATATACGTGTATTTTTTAAATACAAAGAAACAAAAGTTAACAATTGAAAATATTTTGTTTGGTTGGTATTAAGCGTAAAGCTACACAAATAGATATTTGAGCTGTGCCTACCACGTGATAAACAGAATAAGGCATAGAATAATAGTTACTATTAGGATTAAAAAGAGTAAAAGTCGCAGAATAATAGCTATTATAATGGTGAAAAAGAGTAAAAGTCACAGAGTAATAGTTATTATAAGAGTGAAAAAGAGTGAAAGTCACAGAATAATAGTTATCATTAGGGTTAAAAAGAGTAAAAGTCACAGAATAATAGTTACTATAATGGTGAAAAATAAGTCAAAGTCACAGAATAATAGTTATCATTAGAGTTAAAAAGAGTAAAAGTCACAGAATAATAGTTATCATTAGGGTTAAAAAGAGTAAAAGTAACAGAATACTAGTTATCATAATGGTGAGAAAGAGTAAAAGTCACAGAATAATAGTTATCATTAGGGTTAAAAAGAGTAAAAGTAACAGAATAATAGTTATTATAATGGTGAAAAAGAGTAAAAGTCACAGAATAGTAGTTATCATTAGAGTTAAAAAGTGTAAAAATCACAGAATAATAGTTATCATTAGAGTTAAAAAGAGTAAAAGTCACAGAATAATAGTTATCATTAGGGTTAAAAAGAGTAAAAGTCACAGAATAATAGTTATCATTAGGGTTAAAAATAGTAAAAGTAACAGAATAATAGTTATTATAATGGAGAAAAAGAGTAAAAGTTACAGAATAATAGTTATCATTAGAGTTAAAAAAGAGTAAAAGTCACAGAATAATAGTTATCATTAGGGTTAAAACGAGTAAAAGTAACAGAATGCTAGTTATTATAATGGTGAAAAAGAGTAAAAGTCACAGAATAATAGTTATCATTAGAGTTAAAAAGAGTAAAAGTCACAGAATAATAGTTATCATTAAAGTTAAAAAGAGTAAAAGTCACAGAATAATAGTTATCATCTGATGAGAAACAAGATATGATATGGAATGATACGTATTACAAGGAGTGGCGTTTGTATTGTAATTTTATTGGGGGAGGACAAATCTAAAAGGGCCTGGAGGCATGATACCTCTGCAAATATTCTTTCAACAAGACATGTCTCCCATTTGTGGTCAGATTTTGATGGTTCAGAAAAACTAGGGGCATTTATCCCCTTATGTATGTTACTGATTAGAAAGACGGGAAGTGAGAGAAGACACAAAATAGTAGTTCCTTTAAGAACATAAACCTTTTAGGAAAAGACGCAATCTAGGTCTTAACGAAAATATTTTATGTCTCTCTCTCTCTCATTTGTGTTATTTAATTTTGCCCCCTCCCTTAATGGCTCATGATCGGTAGGTCTGCTGCTTAACGATGCTAAAAATCTGGTTCCGATACTCGTGGTGGGCAGAGCATAGATAGCCCATTGTGTAGCTGTCTATTTAATAACAATCAATATATATATATATTTAATATTTATAATGATTTTTTTTCTTTACTACATAGGCTTATAACGCTACAACTGGGGGGTCGGTTCCTCTTTAAGGACGCAGCACACGTGGCCCTTTACTTAGCTTTGCGCTTAAAACAAAACTAAGAAAAACTTATTACATTATTTAATTTATATTTAACTTTTGGCTTTGACTGACTTTAGAAATCTGAGTTGGCCAATCAGAAATCACGACACATTTCCCTGTCCTTTCGCACGTGACAAGTGTATGCGCTCTTCTAAATGCAATTTTAAACCCTAAATTTCTTAGCCAAGAAAATTAATAAATATTTTAATAAGTAAACATATATGTATATGACAGTCATAAACATTTTTAATTTGTGTTTTGCTTCATAAGTCCTAATTAAATAACTGAGTGAAAAATATATAATTGAAGGGTCGGATACAACGTATGTAATAGCTACAATTCCGGGAACTTGAATCAAGATATAAACAATGACGTATTAAATGTATGTATAACGCTTATTGGCTTAAAATGACATCATAGATAACGTCGAATTTTAAGTGGCTACTAATGAGCTCATTTCTATCTTGGGAATACTGTTACGTATAACATGATTGCAAAACCCTGGTGTAACGAATATCGTACTTCTGTCGAGGACTGGGCGGTGATACTCGTGGTGCTAGGACTGACAGTAGAGTTTTCGATACCGGTCGGCGTAACGCGCAATTTCGCGTGGCTTAATATTAAAAACTTGGATTTTACGATATAATCATTTTTAGAAAGGTTGGTAGTCAAGAAAGTGAAGATTTTTGTTTTCATAGGTTAAAAAATCATTTAATTTGCCCTTTTCATAGTTTGTATTACATT